ATTTTATATTTTGATATATTATCCAATTCTTTTTGCATACAAAATATGTTTTTCAGGGAAAGAAAAAACAGTGGGAGCTTTATCATTTTGTTTCTTTGCCTTTTAAGGGAATTACCTTCAGAATTACAGGGAATTTTTAATAAAGAGGAGGTGGATGTTAAAGTTGAAGATAAGAAAAATGAAGTGTGTGTCTCCACGAAGCCTGTGTTTCAGCCCTTTTCAGGACAGGGTCACAGACTGGGAAGGTGAGTGTGCTTATTATCTGTATTTTCCATAAGCAGAGGCTGACTATTAATTCAGTCTGTCATTATTCTACCCATGTAGACCACATGTATGGAGCTTATTTTTCCCACTGGAAATGAGATTTTTTTATGTTAATTTTTATGAGGACTCCTAAGTCATATTTACCCTAGTGTATATTAATATCTGTTTACATTACACTGAAAAATTATGGAGGCTTTTTAGCTTTATCAAATTAAAAGGGCCTGGCTTATTAAGGACAGAATTCAATGAATAAATCCTCTTCTCTCCCTTGTGCCCACCACTTGAGCTTTGTCATGATGCTATGGAGTATATATGCTAGCTTTTAAAAATTGTTTTATGGTTTTTTTACCTTTTGAATATTATGGTTCTATTTTATAGTTACCAGTGCCTGTAACTCTTTGTGTTCTATGATCAGTATATGAATTTTGAGGTAATAAAAATGAAAATATGCCTGATAAAATTAGTATCAACATCAAAGCCTTAGGCTGGGCATGGTGGCTCACGCCTATAATCCCAGCACTCTGGGAAGCCGAGGCAGGAGGATTGCTTGAGCTCAGGAATTCGAGACCAGCCTGAGCAAGAGTAAGACCCCTGTCTCTACTAAAAATAGAAAAAAAATCAGCCAGACAACTAAAATTAGAAGAAATTAGCTGGGCATGGTGACAAGCGCCTGTAGTCCCAGCTACTGGGAGGCTGAGGCAGGAGGATTGCTTGAGCCCAGGAGTTGGAGGTTGCTGTGAGCTAGGCTGATGCCAGAGCACTCTAGCCCGGGCAGCAGAGTGAGACTCTGTCTCAAAAAACAAACAAACAAAAAGAAAAAACAATGTCAAAGCCTTTAGTTATTTTCAAGTTTTGCAGTTTTTATCATCTCTAACTATGCTTTATGACAGAATATGCAGAGATTAGGTACGGGAAAACTTTTGATTTTTATGAATTCTCATATTTTAGTTATCAAGATTGATAATACATATTCATCCACATACACAAAAATATCTGGATGTGTCTTTCCAGAATGATCAGGAAATACTTTATTTCTTTTCCTTTATAGTCCAAGGACTGCTCTCTATAGAGAATTTATAATTTCTTCAGAAATTTAACCTGGGCAGTAGATTAAAGTCCATAGATCCATGAATCATCTAAAATAATCTATTCTATAAAGCACTACTCAAATAATACAAGTAGTAATATATTTACGCAGCACTTTATAAGCTTAAAAATTATTTGGATATGTAAATTTCATTAGATTCTTAAAACTATCGTATATTGTGGACATTACTAATATATAATATGTTTATGCTATTATTGGGGAAACAGCTGTGACTTACAAAAAT